AAACTGATACTGGAGTTCTGTAAAGCGTAGAAGTTTTCAGATGACATCCACCAGTTTCCTTCAGCAACTGACGAGGCTACTTACCTGAAATGCCAATTTTAAATTTTACAAACTTTCTGACTTAAAAAAAATTCTTTACAGCAGACGAATAATATGTACATAAGTAGTGACATCACATCGCGAATTTGGGCTTTAACACTAGTATTACCTTCTACTGTGCATGCGCCAACCAGACTGATGATGTTGTCATGACGACCGACAGTGACCAGAATCTCCAGCTCACCCAACAGGTCCTGTTTGTCCCGGTCTTGGGCAGATGCTGAAAAATGATAAAATTGTAAGAAGAAAGAAACAATTCACAAATTCATTATTGTACAATTGTAACAGGTCGTAAAGCTGATTAACAAGTGTTTCGTTATCCCACATATTGTATCGCCAATATAATGGGTTGTCTTTACCTCTCTCTATCTCTATGGCAATCACTCGTGATCTTTATTTGCAGCCGGATACAGATTCATGTACAGATACACAGTCATTCACAGATACAGATTCATGTACGGATATACAGATACAGACTTTCCGAGTAGGATGACCGTGTCAGTCCCTACACCTGAGTGAGGGTCACAGTTGACACGGTGGCCTTCGCGTGGATTTGTTTAAGGTGCACGTGGATAACAGGTTGCGAATCTGGGCCCCCCGCACTTTGACACCCGTCTTCCCCAGCGGTTCCATATCGAAGGAGACGTGCTGGTTCCGGTTGGGATGCTTGCAGCGAGCTGCCGGATGACTTCGTTACGCTCAAGTCCCGCCTTGATCATGCCAGTCCGCCTGGCGCTGCTCTCGTCCGCCAGCTGAGGACAACTGCCGTTGGAGACTTGTCCCTCTAGTTGAGGGGGGATGCGTGTAAAGTGCCTTTCCCAAGGGCACAACGTCGGTGCGCATGTTCGCACATGCCCCTGTGCTTCGACCCAGGATGGAACCCGGGGCTCCTTGTTTGAGCGCCGAACTTGGCGTCGTGTGGCGTAGTAGTGTCTTTTAATGTAATACTAGAATTAAGTTAATTAGCATGCCTATTTTGGTATTCTTCGGAATATAAAGGACGTGTGTGGAATGTGTTAAAGGCACCTTTCAGTATCTTAACTGCCACAGTCTGGGTGACGCCTCTCTTCCTCAGCTCCCCCATACGGACCTCTCCAAACTGTCCCTTCCCAAGGACTTTACCGAGCGTCAGACTGGACCGGGGAATTTCCCAGGCAGCGTGGACAGCTTTGCTGCTTTCTGCGGAGTCCTGAAAGTGAGGCCGATATAGTTACATGCGGCTAAATGTTATTAACTGCTGTAGAGCAACTCATCAAAGAAGGTACGTACAGGTAGATGTTTCATTACAGATGTACTACGTAGAAGCCTATCCGTCTCGCCGTCCGGAATACAAACCCCTTCAAATGGTAGTGCCACTACTTGGATGGTATGGGGGTCTGGGAGCAGGGAGTAAGTTAACACCAGGTGTGACCCTCGCTTCAGTTATTCTTTGCATTGCATTGCACTGTACTGTGGCCATGTGTAACATCCAGATCTTTGTTTAAAAACATTCACTAGTATGGAACAGAAGAGCTCACATTGCAGAATTAACTTGAAAATGGTTAATAAAAAGATATATTCTTGGGTAATTGATGAGACAAAAAATAGGCAAACCGAGTTGTCCTTCAGTTTCTGCAAAGCCTTTTGTAGTTTGACCCTTGGTCCGATCTCAGGAATGAGTTCAGCAAGTACGGCGTCGCTCAGATTCGAGACTACATCTCCATCTATCTTGTGTCCTGAATAACAGTCACCACATTAACAAGGAATTTAGCACAAATGAGCAGTAAAACCTCATCTTATCCAAATGGACAGTATAGATGTCATCTTTCCTCCGAATCCGTATTGATGTAGCCTTATCAGCAGCGGTTCCAAGCATCACAATTAACACTTTCCCCTTTTTATCAAACAAAGGAAATGATGAGCACAACTGAACTTACGCCTGAATGCTGCAGCGTACTGCCCAAAACCACTGGACCTCAGGAATTCCACTACGTCGTCCACAGTGACAAGGTCTTGGATGCGGTAAACGGTCTGTATGTAGTAGACAGTTTAACTTAGTAAACGTAAAGTAGTCATCATCAGTTGAAGTGAAGCATGAAAATCTAAAACAAGGGGCATTCAAGTGACTGTATGATTGTATAGTTACCGTTTCGTAAAGATAACTGTCTTCATCCAACGTCTTACATGCAGGATTCTCAGCTGATTCCGCAGCGGAGGGCTCGTCTCCTTTGATTATCTTCAGATCTAGCTGAAGCCCTTGGGCGTGCTGGTCGTCATTTGCCTGTCTTTTCCTTTAACACATTAAAGGTGTCCTGCCATGCCATTGTTGATTCAAACACACCAAAAAACAAACAAAACGAATAAACAAACAAACAAGATATCAGTCGTTACACAGGGTGTTTAAGCACTTTACCTGTAACATATGATCCCTACTGTCACCAGCACAGCCACCAGTAGAGCAGCCGCACATCCGACGATGATGGGGACGAGAGGAATAGTTTCGACTAGGAGGGGATGTTAGTAACATTATGTTACACTAACTATTTTACTTGAGAAACTATTACACCACTATTGTTACTGTAAACGCAGTTAGAGAATTGTCATAAAAAAATGATAGTCCATTACTTTCTTGACAATCTTTAAAAAGGGAATTGAACCATTGGGAATGACAAGTTGATATTCTGGTAATTGGTATTGATATATGAATACCATGTACTGTATTTTTCCAGAAACAGTATTTGGCTCCACTCGTTGCAGGCGAAGATATTAAAGGCTACGTTAAATATTCAATAATTTAAAAAAGGAAAACAATATATATGTATCTATAATCCACACAAAATACCTTGGTTGCCCGTTTCTGTGATAACAGGTTCAATGTACCCACTTGTCGTGAATAACTGAAAGTGAATAGAGCGTATGAACTGTCAATTAGGATATACAGATGTCATACATACAGAATTATGATTTGAACATTTATAAAAGAAAACAAAATCTTGAGTGGAAACTCCAAAGGTGACAAAATATACATGTTGCACTACGGTCAGCGTAAGTACCCTTTCTGTGTTCCGCTTGCGTCTCTTGGCTCCAGAGTCCATATAACACCGCACTGCTGCTGTGTACTTCTCCCCTGACTGGAGTTTCTTATTGCCGGGAGTCTTTGCGCGACTGGGATCGGCGAGTTCACTCCGCCCACAGCACCACTCGTGACCGCAGGGTGCCCCATTGCCAATCTGTACTACATCGGTTCTTTTGTACTCCTCTCTGGTGAAAGAAGTAAGGAAAAAGTATTACTATTACAATACTCTCCGAGCAGAGGCGGGTTTTTAGGCTTTTTTTTGTCGGGGTTTCTTTTTTTGCACTGGATTTTTTATGGGAAAAAATCTGCTTGGAGAGTAGTATTACAAAGCATCTATCGTCAATTCGCTGAAAGCACTTAACAAGATTTTGTTTTTAACTCTAGCTTTGTTTCGAGATGTAGCCACGAAACACATATAATTGCCTTCGTCCTAAAGGCAATGACATCGCTTTGCTATAGTGTTGGAGACTCGTGGGGAGTCCCTACCTCACTGCAGTGGACTTTTGTGTTTGTCGTTTTTCTTGTGAACAGGATAGCTCAAGAATCTGTAATGGATGTTCATGATTTTTGGCAGACAGCGTACTGTTGACAATACCAAGGTCAAGTTCGAAAATGGGCCTGGTGGGAGGTCCCTACGTCACTGCAATGGACCTTTGGTGATTGTTGGTTTGTTTGTTATCAGTTTAAGTTCTGGTTCTTACATAAAAGCGCATAGAAAAGCCTGTGATGACAATACAAGCTACAACATTTCACTATTAAGACGTTATATTGGAAGCCATTTTCAAAACGGATTCTACATATTTGGTCCGATTGTAAGCGCAAATGCAATATCTTCAATAGATAGAATAATCTAAGAAATAAACTTACATTGAAAGTGACAAAGCCACGTAAGGTACAGTTTTCCCGTCCCCAGGAGCGTCCTCTGTAAGCATGACGTCTGGTTCTCCAACTCTTATTTTCAGGTCAGCAAGACTCTCTTTTTGAGTCATTGTGATGATGATGACTTGGCAACAACTTCAGAGAATCAATGGTGATAGGATTGCAAAAAAACATTGGCTCCGTACAAATGCATTGATTAAGAACAGAAAGAAAAACGAAAAAATGTGTATGAAATACCAAGAACTGTTCTTGATAACGAATGAATGTCAGACACACGTACCGTACGGGACCATTCCTCTCGCTGACTTTCGGAAGGAACATGGGAAAAGATGTTGCTGAAGCGTTCGGGGGTGGGCCGGTAGGGAGTACTGGATGCGGGGGTGGTTCTATTTGGTAAACGAATAGCATTACTTCGGATCAAGATGATGATGATGATGATAATGGTGCTATAGCATTTTGGGAGCTACAAAGCGTTACCAGGAACTGAGGAGTTTGAATAAACCCAACATACTGATTTTTTCTCACTATAAGTAGTAATATGACCAGTTCTCACCAACTCTAGAGACTTGACAAGTGACCTCCTCCCCCTTGTCTCCCTCGGCACAGGTTACCGCCCGGACCGTGACTCGGACCAAGGAGTTGGCGGGAAGCTCAGCCAGTGACTTGGACCACTGTTGTTCATCCAAACCTAACGGGTCACGGCTGATGCCTGGTTCAGACTCGTCCGGGTTATGAAGTGGTGTGTCAACATATATAACCTGTGTGGAATAAGTCATAGTTAGTTTACAACTGGTCTAGCTGTAATTCACAACACATCTTTCCAGGAATTTTACAGGAAAAACGAAATAAAATGTCATCACAAAACGTGAATGCTTCACGTCGATGCCACAATGACTGTACCTACATTGTACCCTGTCAGCCTCCCTCTAGTTACTGTAGGAGATGTCAAGTTTACTCCACATTCACTGTTTGCCAATTCTGTCACAGTCGGGGCATCTGGGCCTAAAGATTAAGAGATGCGAGTAATGTTTATAATATTGTCACCATGAGTCAGAGTACTGCCAACATATGAAGATGTGACATTCAAACAATTCGTATGTGGTGTGCATGTCCTTACAAGCCGCGTCATCATAATCATCACAATGTATGCAACTTGAGGTAATTACGGACAATATTTTGTGTTGTTGAATGTGACTAGTACGCTGCTGTGTTAATGAGCACTGTCTTATTTGAAAACTTATACTTACACCCGTCACTCGTACGGGCTATATATGGATGGCTCTCTTTCCCACGGTAGAAGGTGTTGATGGCTAATATCTGTCAAGAGATGAGTGTTAACTTTAACATTACATCATTATACACTTGTCAGTCAGTTCCTTCAAGTCATCTATGTTAGGAATGCATGATTACAGGTTCAATCACTGAACAACTTGACTAGACACCCATGGAGTTCTATTACAGAAAACATTTGATATTCGCAGTACGACGTCACAGTTCTGACTCACAGTGACAGAGTAGTTGTTCGCAGGCTGCAGGTGTGGTGACGTCACCACAGCTGTCAGGTTCTCCTGCTGCAGTCCTGACGTCATGTTCTCCTGGTAGAACGGTTCCCCGCCGGTCCTGTTGTACAGGCTGACTCGGTACGCCTGCAGCTGACCGTGGATGTGGTCAGGGCGCCGCCAGGCTACACGCAGCTGGACCGGCCGGGGGAGGTTTGGCGTCCGGCAGTTACAGTCGTGCTGGTCTGCAAACGTCTGGACAACTGGGGCTGTTGGGTCTGTGAGTCATGGGTAGATAAGAATGTAGATTTTTGTGGACTCTAATCGTATGTCGAGAATCTCTCACAGTAATGAATACTAAAACCCACACTGCACTGAAATGCCTTCAGGGTTAACACTCTAGTCTCATCCACATGCTGTAGAAGCTATTTATGTTTAGTACAGTGCAGTACTCACAATACTCCAGTGTCCTTGTAATGTTACAGTCGCTGAAGTCTCCTCCTCCTGCACTTGTCGCCCCCCGCACCCGGAATGTGTAGTTTGTGTACGGAACCAGGTCTCCGATAACGGTGGTGGTGCTGCCGTGTGACGTGGTAACTTGATGGGGAAACTCGGCTTCACTGCACGACTCGGACGGTCCGTATTGAACCGTGTAGTTGGTGATCTCACCGTTGTGTTCTATTGGAGGTTCCCACGTCAGGTGGACAGAGTTGTGGGAGGTTGGGGCGGCTTGCAAATTGTGAGGAGGATCAGGAGCTGTTAAAATGAAGCACATAGAGTAGGTAAAGCTAACTACATTTCAAGATTGCACTGTTGCACAGTAATCTTGAAAGAGCAACAGAAGCCCCACAAAGAACTGGCGAAGAATAACAAAACCTCTTACGTGCTTCATCTGTAGTTCCCGTCCCATTGCCAGGAGTGCTCCATCCCAGGGAGTTGTTTGCCCGCACTTGGACATCATACTCGACGGCCGGACGTAAGCCGTAGATGTAGACCTCGCCGTTCACATCGGAAACTCCGGTTGACGCCCAGTCTGGCCAGTCCTCCGTGCAGCTCCGTTTGTAGCGTACCTGGGAGTCGATGATGTCGAGGTTACCGGTTACTCCTACTGCCCACGTGACGTGTAGAGCCGTGGAGTTCACAGCGGTGACATTCATTTTAATGTCATCAGGGCTTTCTGCAAATAGACGATAAGAAGATTGTTTGCAATCACATTAGTTGCATCCAGGATATAGTAGAGGAAAGTGTGTACATGTGAACTTCACCTTCATCACGGCACAACCTAAAGAATCATCTATAAAACGTTCATGGTTTCCGCACCTTGCACGACAAGTGTTGCTGCAGCTGCTTGTGACGTGTCGCTCCCCGCCACGTTAGACGTGATACAGACGTACTCTCCGTTATCCTGTCGACGTGCTGACGTCATGCTTAAGGTGCTGTGGGTCACGCCTTGTTCTCCCACCAATCCTCCGTCTGTAACGTCTATGCTGATCCCGGCTCCAGGTGTGATGACTTCGGCATCGTGATGCCAGGTGACGGTAGGAGCGGGAACACCGCGACCGGTACAGTTGAACGTTGCTTTATTATCGACAACTACTGTCAAGCTTTCCGGATGGTCTGACACTGTCGCAGGTACTGGAATAATATAAACATAATACAAGTCACTTGTCTATATGCAATAAGCACACCGAATCCTTAAGATCTCCCTGTAACTTTTGCGGACATTATCTTTCAGCTGTATTGTTTTGTGCAATCATTTTCTTGGTATTAACGGGCGATTGATTGGTTTCAGCTTCATTTAAAAAATAGTGCATACTACCAGTAAACAGCAACGTGACATGTTTAAGATGTATGCCTACTTACTCATTTTACAGGTGTTTCCAACCCAAGGGACCTCACATGGACAGACGCCGTTGGTTTTATCACAGACTGTTCCTGTCACACAGTTTCCACAACTTTCTCTGCACTCATAGCCGTAATAACCGTCAGCACATTCTACAGGACGAAATGTTCAAGAATGCATCTAATATGTAAACAAATCAGCTCAAGATTTGAGTTCTTATCATTCTAAAATGTCAATCATAACTAAACTTACCTACATGTACATACACAAATCATAACAGCCTTTCATTCCCTTCTTGAGTTTTAATCGTCTAAAGTCTCATACGAAATGTTCCTCTCCAGTTCCAATATAGGCTGCTTGGGGTTCTAAACCTGTACCACTTCTTTACGAGGCCAACAGCTACCTCTCACAAAAAACATGACTCCAGCATGTCCAACGTATCCAATGTGTCCAATAATATCACAGTATATAAAAGTTGGCCTACCCTGATCACAGAAGGCGCCATGCCATCCATCCGCACATGCGCAGATGTACAGTCCGGAATCTTCCGGTCCTGATGTCAGGGTTCCGCCATTCTGGCAAGGTTTGAAAGAGGACACTGCGGAAAGGTAGCAGCATAATTCATTAGCTACCATGCTGTTTCAAATTCAATAGATATTACTTGATACAAACTATGTTCATTTTCTTTTTTCTCAGTAGCCCTTTCATGCCATCAAATCTAAACAGCTGTATCAATGCCCACAGCAGAGGTAAAGCAAGCAAGGGATCGTGAATTTACAAGAACTTTCTTTGCCAACATCTAGACTACATTGTGCATTTCAATTGAACAATTCAATTTATATGAAAAAAAACTTAACTATTAAGTAAAAACATACCAGGAAAATCAGCGGGCCTGATCATCATGACTGATTTCTTCAAGGAATATCCGTAACCCAACCAAGTGTACCAGACGATTCCATCTGCGTGCGAGCAGGAGGCTGGAGCAGGGACTGAACAGCCGGTCAGATACTGTCCATTCAACATGGCGTAACCACAACTGCGAGTGTACCACCAGCCTCCTTGTCCGTATTCACCCGCACAGTCGGTACTGACACCGTCGTTATCCTGGTCTGTTGTAGAAAATTGTCTGTTGTTGATGCCGTGACGTGTAGTGGACGGGTCCAAACTATCAGTTGCATCCCCGCTGTATCCGCCGATCGTTGCCGTGTACTTGCTGCTGGCATCTCCCACAGAAAACTCGCTGTACCGCGCAAACCGGCTGTTCGTTTCCCAGTCTTCCAAGTACACGTACAGCTCGTTTGGTTTCTGTGTTGTCAGACTGTGGATGTTCCCCAATCCCAGCCAGTATTCTCCACTAGTGTTGCCGAAGCCTTGTTCGTACTCAGTCCAAATCTTGTCAAACGGCACGGACCCGTCCTGACGCCGCTGTATGACCGTCCACCCTCCGCCGTCAGTGTCCATGTTACAGTAGGCTTGGAACGGTTGAGGGTGGCCAACAGTATAAACGCGACTGTTCTCAATCCCAAGGGTGAACATGTCGGTACAGTCTTGGGGCGCCAGGATTTCTGGAAACATTAGACAATAAGGATGATAATTACATAAAATGATAGCCATGACGACTCGGTAATCCTTTTGTATTATAATACTGGATATCAGTATCATCATACAAAAGGAGTGGCCACGGCTACTATTAAGATGATAACCGTTAACTACATGTTTGTATAGAATCTATATAAGAATATTGACGCCATTTTGGCATCCAGGATGAAACAGTGGTATGATATAGGTTGAACAAAAGTATAGTGTACATACGTTTCCGTTGGTAGTAATTTCGGTAAGGCCATCTGTCCCACTCCGGACCAGGAGACGCCGCCGTGTCCTTGTCACTACTGCGGAGCCAACACCGTGCACTGCCGCCCTCTGGCGATCCGGCAGGGCGATGGTTGAAGGACAGACATATCGGGTTGACGCCGTCGTAACTGCCGTGACCTTGCAGACAGCGGCGGGCACATTCTTCGGCGTCTATGTTGTCGTACGCTGTTATATCATTGCCAGAATCACCGAAGAAGCGACCTTCCTCCTTAGTGAAGAGATGCTCGTACGAGACAGCCGCTAAAGCAGAAATGATGGTATTACCGTGGCCGACAAGTACAAAATTTTACACCGCAACTTTTGGTGTTTTACACCGCAACTTTTGGTGTTTTACACTGCAACTTTTGTTGTTTTACACTGCAACTTTTGGTGTTTTACACTGCAACTTTTGCTGTGTTTTACACTGCAACTTTTGCTGTGTTTTACACTGCAACTTTTGCTGTGTTTTACACTGCAACTTTTGCTGTTTTACACTGCAACTTTTGCTGTGTTTTACACTGCAACTTTTACTGTGTGGAAAACTTACACCCCTCCCCTTTTACAAAGAATTGTCCCTCAATAAGGTCAAAGGTGACAAAGATGGCGGCGGCCTGAGAGTTAGTGTTGTGAGACATCAACAGAATAATTTTTGGTAAGTAGTTAAGATTTCTCCTTTTTGGTGAATCTATTTACAATTGTAGCGGTTTTAAGTTAAAAATTGCATCCTACTGTAGTAGTTTGTGTAGGAAAAATCGTACCGAACCGTTCTTTTCTCTGCATATTTTGTGCACATGTGAGGTCAAAAATATTTGAAGACGTGCGGTTTTTTTTGGGGGGGGCATAAAACTAAAGATTGAGTTCAGATAACATTGTACAACCAACCAATAAATTGTAACTGTCATCGTTTTCTTATACTTTGTTCTATTATTATTAATTAGCATTAGCGTCAGGTACGTGTGTGTTGGGGGAGGCGTTCTTATTATTCTATACATGTTCGTTTCTAGCCTCTTACGTAGCAGCCTGTTCTGGAATGCAGATGGAGTTTTTGCTGAAATTTTAGAGGATAACTCAAGAAGGGGTTTTGGAAATTAGTATTTTATTGTTCTCCTTGCACTGCATATCTAACTTCATTAAATATACTCAGGTAACACAGGTCGCATCTGTGATGGTTTAAAGCTGAAGCTTCAACTTCTTTGTCTTCTCTATTTCTGTGTAATGTGTTGTTGCACTTTTGTCACAAGATCTAATACCTTTTTTCCTTGATCTAGAAATTGCATGGTGGCCAGGTATAGCATTATGGCCTTCTATATTTATTGCTTATATCAGTGTGATATTGCTTTTCCATCTTGTAAATTTTCCCAATTTTCATCATTTCAGTTGGTGTATCCGCTTCTGCATGATGTCCTTGTTATCAGATGACCTGAATAGCTTTGCGCAAGGCTGGAATGACAGAAGGAAGCTGCCTGGTCACGGTGCACCTGCTGGCCGTCCAAATGCGCTTTATTTCCTGCCACACCTTTCAGGTAAAGTGGTTGTTTTGGGGCATAATCTAGACACTGCCATTTGGCATGAAACATCAGTTTTGTACATTTAGTACACTCTGCGTTAGACGGGATGGTAAAGTTTGATCCAGTCACTTCAAGATAGTGTCGATAAGTGGATCTTTAATATGGTTGAGGTACATGTATGGCTCTCCTCAAATATGAAACCGTCAGCTTAACATTGCATCCAAGATAATGCCCCTTGCCAAAGCTAGCTACCCATTTCCTTACTTATTTTTCATTTGTACCTTTGTTGCCCTTATACATGTAAAATTGAATTTGTTAGAAGGATCTGGAAATAAATAATGATTGGTGTTTATTGTATACAAATAAGTTATCATCTTTAGTCATGTACTAATTTTCTCCATCTCTGGTCTAAATAGGGGGCCAAAACCTACTACAAGACGTGGATGCGAGGATGCTCCACCATGCACAGCGAGAGTGCACATCACCCTCACTTGTTGGGAATGACAGATTTCATCGCTACTTATGTGATATGTTGCAAAGGTTAAATAAGAGGTATCCCACAAATTGCGATGATGCATTAACACTGTACCGAGAGCTGGTCACTCACTCACTCACTATCCTGGTAAAGAGCTGGTCACTCACTCACTCACTATCCTGGTAAAGATATCCTGGTGGCAATTGCAAATTAATATACATCAAACCTGTACACAGAACACCTAGTTTATGTGTCCACTTAATTGGTGGTCCTTTGGTGATTTATTTATTGTAACAGATGTAGAGGAACTGATCTTCTCACACACTTAACTTGTAATATTATGTCATCAAATGTAAGACTTAACCAACAGCAAGAACTCTTAACCAGCAACAAGAACTCTACAACTTGTAATGTAAATTGATAGAATATTCGGCTTTACCTGCAACAAGAACTCTGGCAGTCTACTGCAACACTAAGAAATATGCTTTTCCACACATACTAATGGCAGTTAACATTGTTCATGGAGAAAGTACATGTACATCATCATATTACATCATCACAGTATTCATGAGAACAGTACAATGTAAGTTTGTTATGCTTTTAGGAGCAAGTAATAGTAACAGTATTTTTAATTCTGTGTTTGATATACCATATCCACAACTGTACACATTGCTATACTGTTAGTTGTAAGACGCTAGACTTGCGTGCATTGCCAACTAGTCACAGTGATACTGCATATATTTTGGGATGCTTTCCTGATTTTCATAACATTAACATCACATAGAATCACATACTGGTACTGTCATGATCTGTTTGACAACAACTTGACATGAAGGACCTATCAACATTATTCAGAAAGTGCTTTATTTAATACCCTATCTAATGTGCAACTACTTACAGTGATACTACACATACAATTTTTGAGATGCTTTCATGACTTTCATTAGAAACACCACTTACAATCACAAACTGGTACTGTCATGATTTGTTTGATGACAACTTCACATGAAGAAACTATCTTCATGTGATGTACTGTGTACATAGCTTTTCTGTAGTACAGTATGGGATCAGGGGGAAGGGTCACATGGATAAACTATAAATCATTGATTACTGATTGAATACTTTTATACGAGATACACATGTACAGGAAATGTTACAGGTGAGTACATGACTATTGAAATTTGGATTTAAATGGGAAGTGTTGTGCTATACACTTGATAACTCGTACCCGGATGGCCTCCCTCACTTCTGCATTGGAGCTGGTGCCAAGACGCCTTCATAGCCCAAGCTTGTTGTACCTGTACTTCAGCTGCCGCACACTGTATACAATAAATAAATAAATGGGTTTGTTGACAGCACAATTGCCTAGTTTGTTCCCGTTGAAATAAGATTGAAAAACAAAACTGTTGTTTCAGATCATATTCATACACTACACCATATAACACAATACATCATGTAGAGACAGCCTATCATGATGAGGCATTATGCATCTTTTAAAAGTTATTTTACATGTACACCATGATATTCCTTGACCATCTCTTTCTAAAGAGCTGCTTAGCCACCCTTATTCAACATTAAGAGCTGTGCTGGTAGAAAACATTGATGCTACAATATTTTAACAATTGTACAATAACAAGCATTTCTTTAACACATGACAAACATGTACACATAAGAGTTCTCAAATGAAGCTCCCCCTGATATAATATATAGTACTACCTGCCTTAGATCCACGTCATGAAAGTTGCTAAAAAATGTTGAGATCTCAAGAGTACTGGTAGCCTCTTTTCCAGTACTCTACCAGAAGTTCCTCCTCTGGAAAGACAACCATAGACAACCATATTGTAAGTCATACAAGTATTGGTCATACAAAAATATTACATCATTACATTTTAATCCATGAAGCCATAATCAGCAATATACCAAAAAATGTGACTTGTAGACAGATCATAGAGAAGCGACTTGTGGCTTGTAGACAGATCATAGAGAAGCAAAAAAAAGAACTCTATTTATCATCCATTTAGGTACAATGTAATGTCATGCATATACATGTACATGTAACAGTTACTAACTAACAGATAAATAAAAGGATGTAAATAAATCAAGATAAGATGGTGTGTTTTGTATAGCCGGTTATTATAGATACAGATTTACTGGGGGTTCATGGGAGAAAGGGTTTACAGTTGCTAGAACTGTTGAAATTGGCTGTATTTGACACTTGCAAAAAAGACAAATATGTACTTCAACATAACCAGGGATAGTAGTACACATAATCTTGGCTGTAAAGTACATGTAACAGTTATATTGAGTAGAAGTATGATATGAAAACATTTTGAAGTCCTAGAATAACAAAAATATTAGTATTACAATTCCTTACCATTGTTATAGTTCTTGAGGCAGGGGGCATCAATGACTGAAGTAATAAAAGAACATCTTTTGCATGTGACATTAAAAACTCGACAACAAATTCTTTCTGCAATCAAGGACGTCGAAAAGCCTTGCTGCAGCTTCAAATATAGAATAATAGAAACCGCCCCCCCCCCCACGCGTACCTGACGCTAATGCTTATTAATGATGATAGAACAAATTATAAGAAAACGATGACAGTTACAATTTATTGGTTGGTTGACAATGTTATCTGAACTCAATCTTTAGTTTTATCCCCCCCCCCAAAAAAAAACCGCACGTCTTCAAATATTTTTTGACCTCACATGTGCACAAAATATGCAGAGAAAAGAACGGTTCGGTACGATTTTTCCTACACAAACTACTACAGTAGGATGCAATTTTTAACTTAAAACCGCTACAATTGTAAATAGATTCACCAAAAAGGAGAAATCTTAACTACTTACCAAAATAGTTCTGTTGATTTCCGAAAATAGTTTCATCAGGTTGGTAAAACTTAAGAGATAGGGGAATTCTTTTTACACAACCAAAGAGTCTCACCTCGCTGACGTTTCGGCTACATATAGCGGCGAGATGCAGTACTCCAGTGAGAAGCTCTGAAGAAGGTGTCTGATAGACACCGAAACGTCAGCGAGGTGAGACTCTTTGGTTGTGTAAAAAGAATTCCCCTATCTCTTAGTTCTGTTGATGTCTCACAACACTAACTCTCAGGCCGCCGCCATCTTTGTCACCTTTGACCTTATTGAGGGACAATTCTTTGTAAAAGGGGAGGGGTGTAAGTTTTCCACACAGCAAAAGTTGCAGTGCAAAACACAGCAAAAGTTGCAGTGTAAAACAGCAAAAGTTGCAGTGTAAAACACAGCAAAAGTTGCAGTGTAAAACACAGCAAAAGTTGCAGTGTAAAACACAGCAAAAGTTTCAGTGTAAAACACCAAAAGTTGCAGTGTAAAACACCAAAAGTTGCAGTGTAAAACACCAAAAGTTGCGGTGTAAAACACCAAAAGTTGCGGTGTAAAATTTTGTACTTGTCGGCCACGGTATTACATACTAGAATTCTACAACCGCAGTACATTGCTAAATGAGCTTGGTGACATGACGTGATTTGTGAGATCAAAAAAAAAAAAACGAATGTAATGACAATCCCTGTACCTGCGCGGTTTTGACACGAGTCTCCAGTCCATAAGTAATGACATCCCCCCGTACAGAATCCAGTCTTCTTGTCACAGTCCGCTGGTCTGTTTGCACAGTTACAGGTTTGGGTGCATCCGGCTCCGTACATGCCGTCTGGACACTCTGAAGCAGGGGTTATATTTTAAGCTTGAGTAATCAATGAAGGATTGAAACTGCAATATTGGCAAGTATTAACTGTGACCTCAAAAAATTGTATGTATATGTAAGTCAGGAAAGGTATTTTGTGTTATATGCAGGCCCTGGACATGTTGGATTTTCAACTTGACTCATCTGCATGGCATGTGCGTACAAAATATTCGGCTATTTCCTTCTGACTATGTATTACGTTATATATAACGATACTGATGTTGGAATAGAATAATGTCTGTCATTATATGTACTCACCTGTATTACACTCTATCCCCATGAGTCCAGGAGCACAGGAACAGCCGTACGGGTCCATCACACACAGCAGCTGGCCCGTACAGTCTCCACCGTCACACTCTCTCGTGCAGCTTGTACCGATTTTGTTGTTCGCACAGGCTTAAAAAGAATAATAGACGATGATGTCGATTCAGTACATGTGGTATACATTATATTTTTGTTATCACCATTTGTTAACGGCAACGCTTGGGCTTATGTGCCGGGATCTGTATGAAGAATTTTAACAACTTTGAATCATGTTGGGTGCATCGAAAGATTGTATGGCGTTATCTGAAAATGACACCTACATGTAGTGTTGCACATACCACTTTCACAGTTCTGTCCATGGAACCCCGGAGGACAGACACATTCCCCCGTGTTGTCGTCACACACACCTCCGTTGTAGCACACGGGACAGTCACCGGTACAGGACGGCGGACCCCACTTGTTCTCAGCACATCCTGTGGAACAGACAGTTCAAAGCACAAGGGAGTGTGTTTACATGTGTGTAAACGGTGTTCAGCACCAAGGACAGGTATGTGTGTGTGTTTGTGTTTGTTTGTTTGTTTGTTTGTGTGTGTGTGTGTGTGTGTGTGTGTGTGTGTGTGTGTGTGTGTGTGTGTGTGTGTGTTTGTGTGTATATGTACCGGTACCTCTGACGATGAGCCTCATGATGCCCTGTTTCCCCTCCGTATCCCCCTGATAGTAGCATTCATAGATCCCCTCATCTGAAGACTGGACACTGGCTATGGTCAGGCTGAGTCCGTTCTGTCCAGTCAGGACATTTCCTCTCTTCCTCCACTCCAGGGTGCCGGTTCTACTGGACTTCTGCACCATCTGTAGTGTCGCCGGGTCTCCAAGGCTAGCGGTTACTGTGAAGGCCACTGGCCAGACATCGGCTGAAAGGAGAATGGAAGTTATAGATATGACCTAAAGGAGTATGGAAGTCATAGATTGTAACTTATACGGCTTTCCCCATCCGAGGAATGTTGACTCATGAGTAAATTCCAATCACTGGATAAAGACATCAGCATATATATACAGGAATACGTTTTGTACTCACCCTGTGATTTCATTTTTAAGGTGATGGCCTTCTCTGTTTGACCTCCGTCACTTACTAGACAGGAGAATGCTCCAACCCGGAAGTCACCAGCTCTAACCACGATCCTCGTGCTCCACCATTCTCCTGCCACCTTGCTGGTGAGTCTCTGTGATGTAAACGTTGTTCCCGAGCCAGTGTCGACCTCTACACCGAACTGGTAGCCATTCTGGTTGATGAGACTACCCGTGTAGTAACAGTACAGCCAGGTGGAATAGGAATCACCAAAGAACTGGTACTTACTGACGATGGTGACGTCTACTACACCTGAAGAAAAGTTACACACGGGAATATCTATCTTAAGGTGTACCAAAAGAAATCAGCGTTGAATATTAAGTATCTTATAAAATTAATTAGTTAATTTTAGCAAAAACAATAATTCAAGCAGCCTAAAGTCCTGCCATCTGATCCTCGGGTTAGGCAAAGTAACTATTAGTAGTCATTCATACTATCCCGCATTAAATGCGTACAATGTCTGTTATATCTTTGGATTTCATTTTTGCAGGCTCAGATGGAATTGTCTGATATCACATTTGCGAACCGGGGCCAAGCCGGGCTGTTTGTAGATTAACAATTCATATCACGAATATACAGAAATAGTGCCCATGATTGTTGTTAAAATCTTTCTGTGTATTGTTGTCTTTACGTTCCTAAAAGCTGCCCGACCGGGCCCCGTGTGGGAATTGTGACCTCAACATTTGGAATCCAGCAGAAAAGTATGGGGCGTGTTAGTCTTAAAGACATCCAGTGCAGTTTTTAGGGCTTGGAAACCCGATTTTTCAAAGCCAATATTCTAGTCATTTATCTACATACTGATGAGTTGAAACCACACTATCCCAATGTATATAGACCCCCGTGGAGCAAATAGTCAAAATGGTTACTGGAAGGGCCTTGGACTGATTTTTAGGGTACCACCCAGAAAATAAAGGACTCGTGTAGGGACTTTTTTTTGCATTTTTAGAAGCCCAAAGTATGAAATACTGACTCACATGTGCTAAGGTGAAGCAGTATGTGTCAATATCACAAAGATTGCCTCATTCGGAATATTTCCAGTTTAAATTTGTTGTCCTGAAATCACATTTGATGCCTTCAAAACATCACTCACATTGGGAAATGGATGTTTTGACGTGTGCCGACTTTTGTATCACTATCACTATCCCCATACAAACCCTACTCATTCATTCTTACATTACTTACAGGGTATTTAGAGACTTTGCCACAGTTCTGAATGTTTTTTATACATGGGTATTCCATCATAGTACTACTTGTATGCATCCTTTAACTTCGTGCAGAATCATCTATCGAAAATGATACCCTACTTCGGACTCAAACATAAATTAGAGTTAAACTATAAGTATCTCAGTCAATATCAGCATAAAAAATACCAATATATTCAGGCAGCCTAAAGTCAGTGTTATAACACTGTTGTTGCCAAAACACCTTTCTCTCATAAGAAAGAGCGACGCAATCGTGCATAAAAATCCAAACAATGTCTTGTCACGCAAAGAAGCACTTAGGTCGGAGGGAGGGTGTCATTTTCTAACAGATGATAATTTACCAATCAAAAAATATATATACGAGCCCACAGTATAAGTAGTCTTGCGCGTATAAAAACCATTCAATACTGTGGCAAACTCTTACCTAATTATCAAGCAATCTCATACAGTACATTAGGAGAAGCACAGACAACTACCGACTGTTGGCAGACTTGGCAACAAGAGTTTGGAGATCTCATACCTCCATGAAATAGTGAAAACTAGAAAAATATGAATTTTATTGTTTTATTTTGTCCCATTGATTTTGAACACGTATAAATATATGAAGTGTTTTTGAGAGCTTTGAAAGTTAGCACGAAGTGAATTAAACATGTATGAGTGATCTTCTCACTGTCGAGCCTTATTCCATGTTTCATGGCATTTGGGGTGGCTACAAACCAATAGCGACGTTCCACTGAAAACTGCACATACCTGTTACAGTTTGTGTAAGGCAGACCAGGAGGAAGACAAGCCGTAGCCAGCGGCGTGCTTGCAGCTCTGCTTCCTGGGAGGTCTTCATCCCAATTACGGTATCCGAATCCAGACCTTTAACGTACAGATGCCGTGCATAGTACATGTACAACAACTGATAGCGAGCGGTATCACTTTCCTGTTCTTGTACAGGTGCCGAGTAAACAACTCTGTAGACTTCGGCGGAGCTCTAGACTTACTTGTCTGAAACTTCTTCCCTGTGTGTCATGTGAAATGCCAGTGTTTGTGTTCATTCGGTGCAGCTGGCGTTATCTTACATTTGCATTATGCCATGCATACACAGCTAAAAGCATTCTTCTCATTGTAAACCTACCAGGGGTCACAGTTTACAACCCGTCAAACCCTACCAAAATATATCACTGAAAGACTTGCAAAGGGGGATTGTTTGAAATGTCTTTATTATATTACAACTAAAAACGTCTATAATAAGTGTATATGAGAAATTTCAAAAAGTAAAAGAAAACTTTCTGAGATAGGACTCTTAATCAGTAAAAGAATGTCCGGCTAATCTTCTATTAGGATCTTATCTCAGTGGCAGGTCAGGATTATGTCCTGAGTCGACCTCATTGTTTTCGTCGCCCGTTCTGGATGACGGTTTTACCAGTTATTTTGTTCCTCATCCCGCTTTTTAAATTCGCATGTGGACCAAACACCGGTGGGCTCTCGGTGTTTTGTCGTGAGAAAATCAGATTATATTACAAAATTGAAAAAAAAAATCATTGTGAGGAGATAAGAGGCTAGCTTTCAATAGTTTGAGCAGGTCGGCTTTTTCCTTCAGTAAGCATTTAAAATCGTATTTTGGCTCTGTTATAATTAGTGTGTTGATTCTTGTAATTGAGAATCGAAGTAACAGGTGGTGGAACTATATGCTTGTCTACAGAGCAAAATAATCCTACCCCCCGAACTCTTAGCTGTCGAACTGCATTCTTGTCAAACTTGCACTGTAGAGGAACTGTTTACTGTCAACAGGACCGAGCTTGCGAGCTTGCGGCCATTTATTAATGCGTCAGCATGTTGTACCAAGGGAAATGAATGTTGACAGGGAAGGGAGTGTGGTGGTGGTGGTGGTGGTGGTGGTGGTGGTGTGTGTGTGTGTCTGTTTGTGTGTGTGTGTGTTTGTGTGTGTCTGTTTGTGTGTGTGTGTACGTGTGTGTGTGTGTGTGTGTGTGTGTGTGTGTGTGTGTGTGTGTGTCGTGTGCGTAGT